CTTTCTGCGATCCACTCCTGCCCTCACACCTAAAGAAGACTATATGTATTTCTTTGCGCAGTCCATTGTGCAATTAACCCTTGTATGTGCTGTCCTTGAGGTGATATCACATAAAGGTAAAATAATGTTTTTTATTATTGTTATAGAGAAACATGATCAGATTTTCTCCGGTTCAGAAAAAAAGATCTACAGTATACTAGTTTGTCACTAGTATACTTTTAATAGTCTTTGCTGTGCTCTAGAGGATCCTTGTGATATTTCGAGCTCTGGTTGAGTGATGTGTTGCAGTTTAAATAATTTTCATAGTTGGAAAGTATGAAACGCTCTGTTAAAAGCAAGGGAGTTTTGGTGTCCGTTACAGTACAAGAAAATGCCTGACAGAGTAGGGCTTGGACAGATTCCAAGTGCATTTTTGCAATTTATGTTGCATTGTCTATTGTGCTGCTGTAATACAGTTTAAAATAATTAAAACTCTAAACGGTATCAGCTTTATTTATGGGTTGCAATTAAATAAAAGTCAAAAAATGCACTCAAAATGCAATTTAGAGCTTTCTGGCAAGAGGAGACACCCAAACTAATAATGTAACATGCCACTGTTTGTGCATGAACAAGGTTATACTGCTATTTCCTTAGATATGCGATGAAAAAAAAAATTGAATCCCCGACGGAACACATTCCATAAGAATCAGCGCTTTTATATATCGCCCTTTAAAGGTGGCTTCTCAAAACGCTTTACAGGATAAAAACAACAATAACAGCAACAACAACAATATTGTATTTCATTTCACTTTGAAAACCAAGTAATAACTCAACTATATCTGCAAACGTTTTATGATATGTAGTTGTGAATGCCTGTGGAGTGTATCTTATTTGCCTTGAGTCCTGGTTATCTCTCGCCCTCTCCCCCCTCTCTCCCTCAATTCAATTCAATTCAAGGTGCTTTATTAGCATGACAGTTGGGTACAATCAGTGTTGGGTATTTACTTTGCTTTGAGATGCCACTTTTTAAGGTGATATATAAAATCAAGGCTTTAACTTGCTTCAACTCCGCAAGTCTGAGTTCTCGTGTCTGTCCTATCCGAGCTCGAAAGTATTACAATATGTATCTTTATAGCAGGTGGTGTACAGCTTTTTAGTATAGTTTACACTTTTCTAAAATGTATTTAAAAAATAAAAATGATTACAATCTAATCTTTCCACGTTTGATCCCAAGATCCCAAGAAAAATAAATCTAAATGGGGAGAAAGCTATGCTTAAAGTTTATTAAGATACTTAGAAGACAAAGATATCAATTTATGTTGCATTTGTCTGATTGTGAATCAAAAAACACATATATTTAAACCCGCATTTGCGATTTAAATCAATATAAATGTTTATATTGTAACGCCTAGGTGACTATTCATTGTTATTAAAATGACTTAAAATTTCGATCATGTTGCGATTTTTAGAAATATAAATTTGTTTGGTGCAAGTGAGGTTTTATTTAATCTCTGACCCAGGGAAACGTTTCATTTTCTCAAAGAAATGTTTGTTAAAGGAAATTCATGGCTCCAGCGGGATTCAATCACAGACGGACCGTGTGACTTGGGAGGCAGGAACCTAACCTACTGTGCCACCGGCAAGGTCACATGCAGAGTGCTGAAAAAGCACTACAGAAACATTATCAACAGACAATGTACAGCGTGTACTATTCTTGTGTTGCGGTACATGAATATAATTATATCGTTATTAATTTCTTAAGATATGCGATTCCATATTATATTCCCTTTTCATCAAATTCTAAAAGTTAGTTAAAGACTTCGATGCTTAAAATGTTTAGGGAGAAATTGAATACTGGTGTGTATGTTTTCTTTAAAGTACCAAGACCAGCTATATACTGTATGTTTAAGTTCCAAAATTAATATCGTTTATGGCCTTCACACGCGTTACAGTATGCTCCTATTCTTTTTATGCTCAGCTACTAAGATTTCCCTTCAGTGGTAAAATTCCATATAAATATTCAATACTTAAACGGGCACAGTTAAGACATTAAATATACATATACATACTGTATACAGTACAGTTTGCATACGGTAATATGTTTATGTTCCTAAATCAATCTCTTTTATGAGCATGTGAAAGGCATGGTGAATCAATTCTCAAAAATTACAGTACTTTGCATGATTGGAAACAAATGCGTGATTGCGAAATGCTGTGGTGTTACTTTTACAAAGACGGTCAATGAAAAAAAGAATGTGGACCAGGGCAATACTTTGAGTTTACAACTTGTCCAAGGTCATTCATTATTAATACTATTAGTAATATCTTCGTTAAAGACTTTGATGGGGACAGCTCAAACATGAGAGGTTGAGCTTTATTAGCTCAACCTTGTGGAAGTTCCGGATACTATTATTTTGCTTGCGTTATTATAGGAGAATTTATGGTAACTCGCGGTAACTCGCGGTAACAAAATAATGCAGTATCGCCCGCGCATTTTGAATGGCTGCATCTGTACATTCATTTTATAATCTCAGTGGCTTCACAGGCTGTTATATGTCGTGCAGAATGTCAAATGTACAGTGTGAGTGGTCCTGAGTGTGAGTGGTTTTGTTGTCGTTTGTTGTTTTTGTTTCTGTTCTCCTTCGATAGAAACTGGTACACAAAACAGAATGATATGTGAAACCAGATGGTCAATTATGTAAGATAAGAAAATGTTAACCCTGCTTGTTTTGAAACGTACAGAGCAGTACAAACATGTGAGCAGAGATACTTGTAGCTTCCTTTGGTGTTGATGCAGTGAGATAAACTGTGGCACACTGGTTTCTGGGGATAATCACACTCATTTACAGTATGTCTGCTGGCACAAACGTGTATTAAGACATTGAAGGTTCAACACATTTAACAATGACCTATACATTGAGACATATATGAGCTGTATACATGTAATAAAAATAGTTTATCTATTTACTCATTTAAAATATGTAACTCAATATAAAAATATGTAGGTTTGATTCTTTGCTATTGTTTATCTAGCATATGCTGTTATACACTGGTTCATTCCATTTTGATTTGTTGCAAACAACAACTGATATCTTGAAAAATCAGTAATGCAATTACTAATGTGATGTTTTCTCTAACAGAAAAAAATATGAAAGTATTGTTTGAGAAATGGATTTACAGAATTATTGATTTTTTTTCAGACATCATGAGGAGAGTGTCCCAACACAATGTTCATTATTTTTAAACTCACAAATGTTCTCTAGTCTAAGATGTTTAAAAACAAACATTTCCTACTCCATGCTCAATGTGGAATAAGTGTTTCATGCTAATACCTGTTAGTACTTGAGGGAGTATTCAGGAAGCAACTGAAGCAATATGGAAGTTGAAAAATAAAGCTAGGGTCTACGAACAGAGTCTATCCCTGAAATGTGAAATGCATCACAACCTATCGTTTTACATTATTTAAAGAACAGATGTTTTATCTCTCTTGAGAAAGTCAAGGTAATGTCATGTCAGAAAAGGCACATTGTCTCGCTGGTCCCAAGCTATACAGCATGTACTATATATAGTGTGTGCCCTCGGAGCCCTAAAGCACTAACATGACAGCAGCATCAGTTTCTTCAGGGGCTTTATCTGAGTAAAGCTCAGCCAACACAAAACTATTATAAATAAAGTTCCACTAAGTATTGGTAGTTAATATACAGTTCATTTTAGAACTTTTGTTTTGTCTTGAAGGTCAGAGTATCTGCCTATATAAACTCTGCTATCCTGTGGAGTTTCTGAGTATGGTTTAACAGCTTTTGAATTTATAAGGGAACATATTATTTTTTTCATTTTGTTAAAATATTCCATCACAGTTTCTTTTTCTATTGTTAAGCGTTACTGAAGCAGATCAAAAAAAATACCTGAGGAAATAATGTGGTGCAGAATGACCTTAAATGAAGCACCTTGTGTAAGGGTGCTTTGTTTGCACAGGGACTTATAGTAATTCCTTCTTGAGTGTTGAACATCAATAAAAAATGGATTGATGACCATGGTAGCAAAAAGAGAGAAAAAGGAGAAAAAGTCCAGGTAACATGACAAAAAGAAAATAGATGTACTTTGAAAATAAAAGACTGCAAAATGCTTTTTTCTCCCCATTTACTTTCTCTTCTGCAGGATTCTACTTATTCTGTTCTGAATATGTTCAGAGCTTTGAGTTTTATGTCTTGGAAACTTTCTTATGCATATCAATAGAGTTTGTACCCATAGTGAAAGATGGGTGAATAATCAGGTTTCCAACAGAGTCCTTCCATTAAGTGGCCATTACCCAAGAGAATTGAGTCTCCATTATATGATTGTGAAAACTTGGAATGTGACTAAAATGTAGTTTATTTCGGTGCTGATGTCACGATGTCCTCAGTTCAGTAAGTCTCCAAACCATCAATTTTTTTCAATACAAAAATGCTAAATGTATTCTATAAAATGATGTAGCAAAATGATAGGTAATGGGTTTATCCTCTTTAATTATTGTAGGTGTGAAGAAAAATATACTGCACATCTCTGAGTATGAGTTACTATCTAGTTCTAAAAGATTAGAAGAGATTTGCAGAAAAGAAAATGAAAAGTAGTTTACCTTTGCACAGAGGAGGGTCACCACTCCAGCCATTTTCTGTACAGAATATTTCCTCTGCACCTTCCAGACGGTAACCAAAGTAACAAGAGTACATCACCACTAACTTGCCAGGGGAGGAACAAAATACAAAATCTCCATGTTCTATTTTTGTGGGTGAGCCACATTGTGTACGTTCTGTGGTTAAAACACATTTAAAATATGTTCGGAATTATTCACAATTAACTATGAAGGTAAAGCCAGTTTATTGTAGACCGATATAATGACACCTGAGGAAAGAACTGCAAGTACCTGTAGTAATCATTAATAAGATTTAACATTAATATAGACCTACTGTACTGTACTTGTGTCATATTGCATTTTTCATCGCATTATCATACTCATTTGTTACCTTTTCATACCCATCTTCTTTCTCGATCACTTTGAGATTAAGAATTGATCATTCTCCTGCTTAAATCAGATCACCTATTGGAGGGCTGTTTTCATTTCTTTATTTTATGGGTTCTTTGATGTTTTCCTTCAAAAGAATCTCAGGACAAAATACTACTGCAAAGGGGACCATACATTGTCTGTGTGCCGTTATTAATTGTAAAAACAATAATCCCAAACTCAACCCAAAACTCCCAAACTGTATATCAGTTTTGCAATAAAAACACATTAAAAACTTGATCATTAAAGTATTGATTCTGAACAACAGTTTGATTTAATACATATACTATAATTAGACATACTTGAAAGATAACAGTGAAGGGTTATAAATGTTGAAATATGACAATTAAAAGCTGCTTTCACTGATTTGGGTCAATTAACAGGTTATTTTATATTATTCCAAGAATTAAATGAGCACTTTACAACAGTTAATGCAATAGTCATTTTTATACTTATAATAATCTTGAAGCTAACCTTCGTTGAGGTTTTCCTGCCAAGCGTCAAGGTTCATTCCAGGTATTTGATCACAAGGAAAAAAGTCCTCAGGGTATCTTCCCAATCTGAAAGGGTCGAGGGAGACCTCTGTGACTCCACTGTTGTCACAAATAACTCGGGAGAGAGAATGTTTCTCAAATTCTTCTCTTTGGGTCTGTGTAAATACACCAGAGTTTTCCCACCAAAACCTACAGAAACAAAAAAAACTGTTTTAAAAATACACATACTGTAACATTTGAAATCAAAGGGCTCTACTGTACGAGAATAATATTCACCTCCTAAATTATGGTAATGTAATAACAAGCACATACTCTCTAGTCTTGCACCTTACAAAAATAGCTTATTTTCTTTACCAGAATTTGAAAGCAGATGCATTTACATACATTTTTTTATTTTTTTAGTGCATCTTCAGCACGTTATTATATTCTTAATTTCTTATCACAGACAGGTTTTTAAACGTAGAGATGTAAATAAATCTGATGCTATGCTTCTTAAATGCTTGTGTTTTTTCCATTTTAAAGCTATCTGTTTAGGAAAAACTTGTTGTTTTGTTTTTTTTTAGATTATAATGTTCCTAAAATGAAGATAAAAATTTGATCCAGAAAATGAAGGAGAAATCGACAGCAGACATAGAGAAGTACGAAGCAACAGCAAAATGTGTGTAATCCATTGTCTCATACAAAATTGATAATCTTGCTTTCAAGGAACGTCTAAGGTATTTATATAGGCATATTCCCATTCCAAATTACCAATCTCCTTCTTGTAGCATTTTCATCTGTTTTCCAATTAAGCATGCAAACAGTGGACCGGTTCTGGCACCAGGTAAAATATCCTCCACTAGCCCACCTAACCAAACATCAATGTTGCTGGGATGCCCATATACATCCATTATCCGCTGAACTATGCTTGCGTTACTTATAACAGTGTGTAGATCAGCCTGAGACTCCAGTGTAGGAAATCCACAGAATTTCCTCCAGGCATTGTAACCTGAAACAGACACCAGGAAAAAATGTCATATACAACCATTTTCTGTCAAGTAAGCAATATGAACAATATAAAAGGACTAAATACCCTAATTAAAAATAGGTTTTAATTGTGGCAATAAACAAACATGGATTAGAGACCACAATTAGATATCTAATTTTATTAATAAGTAATTAAATTACTATTGCTGAAAAAACCCATTACAATCTAAAGGATATTTCTAAGAAAAATTCTGATATAAGTATGAAACTGTTTCAATAAATAAGTTTTATACTGATGAGCTCCAAAAGATAAAAATATTTTGAAAATAAATAATATGTAATGCAGCTTCCTCACTGGGGCATGTCAACACAAAAAATGTTGGTAGATCTAATTAAGGAGAAAAACATTGTGAATGCATTTATTTGTAAAGAACTACACGTATTAATCAATTATATGGCCATGGTACACATTATCACACTATTTCTAATAGTTTCCAAACCTGTTTAGACAAAATTGGAAACAATTTAGATAAAGTTGTGTTGGAGCTATCAAAGTAGAAATCCATGTCAAGCCATCTAAATTATTATCTACTATTTATCTGCTTGCTTTGTCTCAGAGCACCAAAAAACAACAAGTATAACATAATGACATTACATTCAATTTTCTAAAATTGTATATGTGCAGTAACAAGACTTCACTTCAAATCCACATCTTCAACATAAAGGACCCATAATCCACATAAGTAAATTACCTTATTTTTTCCTCTCTGCAATGGGGAATACAATCAACTCATAATCAATTATGAACACCTGCAACAATTGGCATTGAGACTATGTTATCAGCCTCTGCATTACTGAAGGAAGACGAGTATATGATTTATACTTGAACTGAAATGAAGAACTGAAAAGTTCTGTGTCTATTCCCCCTCAATCATCTTTCTGTGTTGTACCTATTTTTAACACAGATTCCCGGAAAATATCAGATGCTGTAGCTGTTCACTAAGCCTCAACGGGATTCCACAGCGATGTAAAATGTGAAATTAGGGCCATGGGAGTTGTATTCCAATGGGACAGAGGTTGATCAAATTGACCCTGAAGTTGCAGTTCACACCAGAAAGGCAACATCATAAAATTCAAGGAAAATTGCCCAATTGTCAAATTCCCAGTAACCAACAAGAAAGCATAGTGCAGATAATTTTCTTTTAAAGAACAAATACAAGAAGGTTTTCTGTTTTGGAACAGCAATTACACTAAAAAGTGTCTACCAGTATATCTAACAAACTATAGTGCTTATAGTTTTGACTTTCTAACTAACATAACATAAATGTCCAAAACAAACTGAGGAAGAAAAACATTTGTACTGAAACAAAAATGCTGCTAAATACATAAGTGACGATAATATGTTTTAAATGCCATTTAAAACACAACCAATGGTCCCCTAATTCTTAAACACAAGTTCATTACTAAGACCCACAAAACTTCAAAACTTGGCTTACTGAAAGCACTCATTGTAAAGAGTAAATAAAACTTTTTTTTTATGGTTTGAAAACTGGCTGTTACAGAGATGGTAAGTGATGACATTATGTAGGTTCTTGTCTGAAATGTTGAGTATGTTGAGGCAAACTGCTCGGCTACATGGCTACATTTCTAAAACGTGCAATCAGGGAAGTTTAATTTGAGCTTGAAGAGGAGCAATTGTTATGTCTAGGTTGTGTTTTGGGATTTTTTTACTTTATGTGTGTGTATGTGTATGTGCGCCAATCCTTCAAGATTATTCTAAAACAAATCTTAGATATACAGTATGAAAACATTTACCAAAATCAATCCCTAACTGTGGAGAAAATGTAGGACCTTCCTGAAACAACAGAGCGAAGTCTCATAAGTAAACATTATATATTTACTGTATGTGTCCAGAAAATAAACATACATTATTAAAGGTAGCCTTAGATTGTACAGTACTTGCGTGTGTAATCCCTGGCAAGTGAAATCAGTTATGAATTTAATTTATGTTTGTTTTTCTCTTTTGAAAATATATATTGTAAGTATATTACATTTAAAATGATTTTTTTAGTAATTATCCATTATAAGGGAAAAAGCACAGTAGTGTCTATCTCAGAATCACATAGTATGAAGTGGGATTACACCCTGTATATATGGTACTGTACATAAACACATAATTTACTGATGTCAACTAACCTACATAGTATATATTTTGATATCAGTTAAGATGTCACTTAAGAGACATCCATCAGCTTGGACACAAGAACAATATGTAAGCTCCATACAGTGTGCCCCAGGCCAGAATCAAACCCAAGACCCAAGAAATGGGAGGCATCAGCATTACCAACAGCATCTATTAATACTGTAAATAAAGAAAAATGAGAACTCTTGAGGGCTCATGAGGACTGCACTAGTAATGACAGGACAAATCTAGAATGTCAACCTCTCTGACGTCACTTTGCTTACATATCATTGAATTCTGATTGTGGTTTTGTTTTGTTTTGTTTTTTTCTAAAAAGTGTCCGTTTCACATCCAGATGGTTTTTCAAGAAAGCAATCAGATCTTATTTATCAGTCATGCAATTAAATATCATTGTCACGCCCGACATCCCTCCCTAGAGGGCGCTCCACTGCTCTCATTATTGTTCGTGTCATTTAGCTCTCCAGGTGTACCCTTTTAGTGTTATTATTTAAAGACCAGCTCTTCCAGTCCTTGGGGCTCATCATTAGGGAAAGATGTCGCGAGGCCCGCCTAGCACCAGGAAACCCTACGTCCGTCTCCTGAGGGCATAGGCCTCATCCCCGACACCTCCCGGTTCCTGAGCCTGGGGTCTGGAGGATCTCGCCCCGTCACCCTTGGACCTCCATGTTTCGTTTGTCTGTGTGCTCCCCCCTCCCGGGGATTTTAACTTTGTCGCGTCCCAGGATGGATTTCCAGTTTATGGACTTTCGGACCGTGCTTTGACCTGCCCGTTTGGATTTGGATGCCGTTTTGTCTTCCCCGTACACTGTCTCACGGACGGTCACTATTATTTTGTGCACCATTAAACCCTTGTGTGTTCCTTTTTACCACGCCTCCTGTTTTCTCCAGCTCTTACCGCATCGCATAGGGTCTTCTACAATATCTGACACGGATTCCAGTCCGTGTCCGTTACAATCATACAGTGCTATTGTGATCATCTTGAACTTTTTTAATTGCCAACTGCCATTAGGAAATATTGCATTATACATGAGGAGAGGTCTTAAAATAAATAAAACAAAGATAATTAAATTGCTATTACTTTGCAAAAAAAAGTACTCAAAACCTCTGTAAAGAAAACTGCCTGCAGAATTGCCTATTAAAAGATTCTCATCTCCACATACTGTAAGACAGTAATTTTACTCAGCTCCAGGAGGTAGAAGACTGAGCAACAGACCTGGAAGCCCATGATCACGGCCGCGCTGCAAATTTAAGGATGCCAAGTCAAGAGCTCCAGGGCTGGAAAGCACAAACAGTTTCTTTGTCAGCTCTTCATTCATTAAGTGGTCTGGAGTTACAACAACAGCGGGGTTCACCATTAGACCTCTTATTACTGGATCGAGTCCACCTACCAGAAAAAAGAAATGCAGTAAGATCAATGGGTGGCTTTATGAACACTTCAATAAGTAGTTCACATTATATATGTAAATATTTCCTTGTAATTTCAAGCACAGCGTTCTGTTCTGTTTTGTTGTTGGAATTATATCTCTCATTCTAATTAATGTGTGAGCAAAACACCCTGTGAGAAGGGTTCTCAAAGCCCGAAATGAGGACATTTTAAAAGGGAATCAAAATATATAATTACACACTTACGTGTTATTTATAAAATAAATTACATTGGTGAAACTGTGTCCAAATGTATCGTACATGTTCCTGCTGGATTCTTATCATCAAGCTCTTTTCAAAGGATAAGCTTGCTTGGCATGTCATCTATCATGGTAAATCAAGTGTAAAACCAAGAGCAGCACAGTATGAGACAGAGCACAATTAAAATATACAACAGTAGCAAAATAAATAATCTAAACATTAGGATTACATAAATACCTCATTTCTTAATTCTTTTTAAATCTCCCAAAACATTATGATTTGAACTCAGTATAATTAGTGGGTGTATGTTATGATAATATATGATAATTTTGAAAAACCTGTTTGAGAAAAAGGGAATTGATTTTCCAGAAGTAACACCAACTCAAATCAATCAGTTGTTGCTCAGTATTATTACACGTACTGTGAACTAAGGTAATCATTACAACTTGAACAGAACCAGGTCTTTCAGAGCTGGTCATTTCTATTGTGGCTCTGTTTTGCGTTCAAGATGACACGTCATTCTAAAGCATTTTAAAAAAGATGTTGTTCTCAATTAGACTACATTTAATTAGTTCAATTTAAAATAAAAATAGTTATGTATGCCTTTCTCAAAGTTTCTCAAAAATTGATTTCACACAATAGAGAAATGTCAAGAAAAAATAATTTATATGGGTAAAATATCCATTCTTTCTTACACCAATGAAATAAAAGTGAAATAGTGTTATGAGGGGAAAAAATGTATCAGTATTGCATTTTTCTCCATTGGATAGAAATTATCTTAGAGTTCTGTTAGATTTGGTGAAGAAACATGTCAAAGACGTTTAAGCATACCTTCTTTAATCAGTCTCCAAGGACTGAAAAATGTCTCATGTAGACTCACAGATGAGAAATTGTTATGCTCCTGATATTTCTCATCCAGTCTATGTGTGACCGGTGAAACAGTTGCATGGCCAAACCGGAAAGCTGCTGTTGCAAACACATTGGAAACTGTAGGATTGAGAGAAGAATCATATCCTCCATAGACACCGATGTACTGATCAAAGGCATCAGCTCCAAGAATTTTGGGGACATAATCCCTGAAGGTTATAATCTTCAAAGAGAAAAGAGAAGTTAGTTGCTGTAGTAATTTCTGTTTTAAGTATGGATTTTAGGTTATTATAATTGTTCCCTATCTGATAAAGGTGAAAATCCTGCACCCCCCCCCCAAGTGTTATACTTATTAAGAATGTATTTCATAGGTATAATTACAGGGTGTACTTTCTATAATTACCAATTTCCCAAATAGGCCAAAATGCAAAATGTAGGTTACTTCACAACATTGTTTTTAAATCCTTAAGAATTATTTCTGGCAACATTCTTTGCAATCTGCCTTGCCAGAAATTGCAATGCTTTTTTAATGTACATTAAGCATAATCTTTGTGGGTGTCAAATTATGAGCATGTATTTTTCAGCCCTAGTAGATACAGTACAATATTGTACAGAGCACTTATTTAGGTATGGTGCAGCAGTTGTTACATTATTTCATCTGTAATAGTAGGTATCTCAAGTTACATAGGATTTTTTTTTTTAATTCTGAAATGTTCTAATGCTAAATGATATGAAATAAGTCAATTTACCATTCTACAATCAAAATCCCCTTATGAAAACTGAATTGAGCATTACAGTATAAATTACACATAACATACTGAGGTAGCTCAGTGATGCATGATTAGCAATGCTGCCCACATCGCTTAGGCCCTGAGTTTAATTCTAGACTAGGGGTGCTATCTGTGTGGAGCTTATACTGTATATTCTCCACATGCTTGTGTGGTTTTCCTCTGGGTGTTCTGGTTTCCAACCACAGTCCAAAAGCATACTGGTAGGTTAAAATGGGAAATTTGGTCCTGGTGTGAGTTTATGCGTGTCTGTGTCTGTGACTGAGATTGACATCCCATTCAGGGTGTTCCCCGCCTTGTGCCAGTTGCTTGCTGGGGTGATAGGCCCCAGCCCCCCTGACATACTGACATCCCCTATGATCCTGAAATGGACAGATGGACAAATATACTGTATATAATACATACTGAGAGTCATAAATAATGTAACTAATAATTTTTGTTCCAACATTTCCTCAGATATACGTACAGTATAATTATCAGAAAGAAATATTTAATTCACTGCATATCAGAATAATCCGTTAACCAAAGGTGAAAAGTGCATTTCGTCCACGTGCATATTTTACACCTTAAAATATATATTGGAATGGTATGCACACTTGGTACTTTAGATGTGGCAATGTTTGCATTTTGCTACCCCCTGTGACTGTGGGTACAAGCTAGCGAATAAGGGCAATAATCATAACTGAACCAAAATTCAAGAACTGCCGCAGAGTAGAAGACAGGATGTCATAGGGAAATGGAGGACCCTTTCTTCTGTAGTGTAAGACATTGAAATGGAAAAGAAGGACTGGTTTGGCGATGGAAGTGTAACATGGCATGAGCTACAATACAGCATCAGTGGAGATCGTGGTTAGTGTCTCCTTAACTGTGCAATGCTATAGAAACAATCGTTTTGCCATTGTAAACACGCTACCGTTTACATGCATGCATTTGTCAGACTATTCTGACATGGCACAACATGCATGTGATGGTTCTGCCACTCTATGAACCTGACATGAACTCAAAGCATTTGGGAAGCACTGGAGTGGCCTCAGGCACTGCTGGTGGTCATAGCCATGTACTTTATGCTTGCTGAGCTACTGTACAGTGTATGTATAGTATTACTTCTGGCTGAGAGGAGTCTGAGTCCCACAGAGAAATAAATACTGTTTTTTTACTGTTATGTTAATTCCATGTTGTATCCAATCATTAGTATAAAATGTAAGAAACGTGATGGACAGATAGTGAACATAATTTTTCAATATGAAATATTCACCTTGTTCAGAGAAAAAAAAATCCTCCCCTGTTGTAAACCTCTTCGGTTTGTAAACTCTTTTAATTAGATAATGGGTTTGAATGTTAATTTAGCATATGTACCCTAACCTTTTGTGATGTCCACGTTTTTCTGCCTAAGAAAAAAATCAGTCTGTATTTTGTTTTTGTTAAGTAAAAACTGTTGCAAAACTCCTCTGCTTCATTCGAATGCCTTTCAGTCTACTCTATTATGAAAAGTTAAGAGTGAGGAGGTGTGGGAATAGATTGGCTGCAAAAGGAACAAGTAGAGGTGAATTCCACACTGAAAGGAGAAATAAAGAGTGAAATTCATATCAATGCATGTTTCTGCTGTAGCACTTACAGGCTCACAGCCTACAGCATAGAACAAGCCCTTTTTACCAGGTCCTGCTTAGTCACGGGGGATATATTCCTGAACTATCTGCAGATAATGAAAAATGCAAATACTGAAAACAAAGTTCTCCAAGCTAAGTTTCAAAATACAAATTTATCACAACTCTACAGTAAGTCATACTGTAAATATACTGTACAGTATTAGTGTTAGACTAAGATGTTTTAAAACATATTTGTTGGGGGAAAACATGCATTTAAGTAGTCTTATGCAGAAGACATACAATGTGTAGAACATAATCACATTGAATAAATTGTATCTGTTACAAGCAAACAAGGGTGGCACAGTGGAGGACTGGTTGCCTCACATCACTGGTGCCCTTGGTTCAATTCTAGACCTGGGGTGCTATCTGTGTGTAGTTTGTATGTTTTCTCTGTGTTCATGTGTTCATGTGGGCTTCTTCCAGGTGCTCTGGTTTCCTCCCACAGTCCAGAGACACACTGGTCTGTATCTGTGTGAGCCCTGCAATAGACTGGCCTCCCATCTAAGGTGTATCCCAACCTGCACCTGTTGCTCACCAGGATAGACGTTGGCTCCTCTGTGAGGCTGCATTGGATAAAGCAGCTAGAAGACTTAAAGATGCAGTATTTTGTAATTATTGATGTTGTATCTTAAAGCTCTCTGTGGTGATCACCTGCTGTAAATCTGTTGGATGTTTTATGAGAAAATAAAAGCAATCCATACATTATAAGTGACCTTCAACTTGAACAATCTGAAGTTAGTAATTTCTTTTTAAAACAAAATAAAATTCTCATTTGATTTTTCCCAAAATAATTTCCATGAGGAAAGTTAATTTTTTTGTGGAGGAATAGTTTTTTTCTCTTTGCAGTGCACTGCAGGCATACTGTTTAACACTTACTGTATGTACTGTATTATGTTGCAATATGTGGCTGAACTACAAAAAAAAAAAACTGTAGACCTTACAGTGAAAAACAAAGATGAATGATCTCAGGAATTACATACAGTACAGTATATATCATACACTACAAATAAAAAATAAATATACAGTACCAAATTACAAATGAAAAGAAGATAATAAAGTATTACAGCTTTCTATTATAACAATGAATCTTCTTAAAACATGTGCCTTTACAGTTATAGTATGTAGTGCAGTAATCTTTAGGAGGATGTGATGAAGGGAACAGTTCAATTGGATTGAATTGAGTTGAGCTTGAGGCCAACAATAAACGTTCTAGAAGCTTAAATAATTTTTCTTGGGCCAGGCTTTGCCTGACACCATGTGGATGGGCAAACTATGGATGTAAGTGTGCCTTAAAGTACTTGGAATTATAACTGTGCTGGTTTGTTAAAGTAAAATATTTTACTGCAATATTAGTGGAATGTGCAAACCCTTATTTATGTGAGCTGAACAGCTTGCTGCACAGCATTTTTCTGCACAACTAATTCTGATTTGACAGGTCACAGTATTAACTTGTTTTGAGGTACTGAGAAAGTTGTTGTAGAGAAAAGTTCCTAAAGCAAAACAGGTAATGTCAGCTTAATTGAAAATGGGAAAACAGTATCTCAAATTAGATAGAATGTGCATTGATGATTGGTTAGAATCAGCGCTACACCATGATATTTTTAAACATATTGATGCAAAACAGAAAAAAAACTATAAACATTCTTCTTTATCTTTTATTGTAGCTGCTTTTTTTTGTAATATAATATACCTTTCATAAACAATAATATTACTTTTGATGTATAACACATATTGGTTACTGCTCTTATTCTGTGAAGAGTAGATGCCCACTCTAGGCTTTTACAATTTCCTGCTCACCCCTGGTTCTCTTTAGTATCTTTTAAAAATGTCCTACCCTCACATTAATTTCCTCCCCTAGCCAAAACTGTTATTTGTTATTTCATCTAATGAATTAAATTTCTGTAGTTCTACATCTAAGTAATTACATTTCTGTGTTTTATTCTATAAAAGGATGTGCAGTTAAGCTTACTGTTAAGTACATCTTTAAAATATTTTTAAGATACATCAGGATAAATTAATTGTATTTCCCTTGAATTGTCTACTTCATTTATAACAATTGATTTAAAAAAATAAAACATTGATTTTAATTCATTTATACTATGATATAGCTTGATTGTTAAATTTCTATCTACATATACAAAAGTAATTTGAAAGCAGCAGATATTAATGAGTTAAATTAATCTTACAGCATATTTTTTATTGACATGTATTGTTTTTATAAGAGCAGCATTAATCATGTTCTAAATGCTTTAACCAAAGAAGTGCATAATGTAATCTTTGGCACAGTGAAAAGATAAATATCAGTCAAACGTAATACTGGGTTTTTGTTTAAACCAAGTATGATGGATACGGGAAATATATAATTTACTTTTTGACATGATGTTGGATTAAAGTGCCTCACATGTAATGCTTTGTTACAGCATTGTAATCAAATGACAGAATCGATTTGTGTAGGAAGAAAACAAAAGTTGTTCTACAAAAAAATGTCAGATATTAAAATGACACCATTTGGAATTATGGAGATAAGAACTATGATACTTAGATAAATTACATCCATTTTTATGGATGTTAATACAGTATATGTTAACATTATGTTTTCTTTTTTTCATATTATTGAATATAAAATGCTCTATGTGAATTTGTTTTTTTCTTTTTTACTACAGTATATACAGTAGATAAATTAAGCATTTCTCAGCACATATTTTTCTAAGATGAAAAATATTTTATTCTCTTGTAGTAATATACTGTAAATGTGTTCAAAGGAGTATAGAAATGGGTATTGCTGGGTTCAGTCTACATCCATCCATCCTACAGTATGTCAGTAAGTCAAACTTAAGATGTTTTTTGGAGGTAAGAGGAAACCACTATGGGGTACAGTATATGGGGAAGAAATATACATTCCACACATGCACACCAGTATCAAACCCTGGTCTCTGAAGCTGTTACGTAGTGGATACTGTAGTATGATACTTATTTAATATTTCAGCAAGTTTATAGGTGGAGTTTTTATTATTATGAAGTCACATTAGTAGGTAATCTTTTTGTTTTGTTTAGAACAAAAAAAAGTAAGAAAGACCGATTGACGAAAGAAAGATTATCTTGGGATTGGGATTAATGTACTGCAGGTCAGAGAAGACTAAGGGGAGTACTGAGAGATACTGTATTTGGAGCCGAGAAGCTGCAAACCATACAGGAAGCAGGGCTATGAAATTGTGCAATAAAAGGAAATCCAGTGAAAGATCCATTTCTGTTTCTCTACTTCCTCTTTGCTGCACTGGTTACTGGTTATCTCATTTCGGCTCCCACATACATTGGTATCCTTGGGTTTTAGACAAGCGACTAAAAGATTATGGTAAGAAAAGTGCTTCATATTAGCATAGTAATAGAATCCTAAAGGTCATTGTTGATCCTATTATTTCAATACCTTAAATATAGATTAAGTAAAAACTTCATTGCAAGAAACAATTATTTCACTAGATTTTTTTAAGTATATTTTAAAAATAAACTGAATACAAATAAACTGGATTACTCATTTTGTAAATAAAATAGCTTATAGAAAATGACCAATTAGCAATATACAGTACTAATTTTGCTTGACAAGGCCAGAATTAGGAGTGTGACCAACCTGATGCAAAGCTCCAATGATTTTGCGGGTCTCCTGGTATGTAGTCTCTGCAGTCCAATGATGGTTTAGCTTTTTTAGAGCTTTAGCAATCCGATTATGTTCTCTGACCCAAAGAGTGTGCAAAACAGACAGGGAGATTACTTCACTTGACCTAGTGTCTCCAGCCATGAAGCATTCAATCCTTTCCCCACCAGCATCCCTTGGGTCTTGTGCACATGGAGAGGGGGTTTTACTCACGAAAGGTAAGTATGAGCGCCCACTATCTGTGAATTTTGTGTTCACAGCAAGAAGGCCCTCTTGACTTGAAAAGTTCCGAAGCTTGCTCACCATGGATGGGCTATTGCCATAAACTGTAGAGGCATCCAAGAAGGAGCTGAGGGCATTCATCTGTTGCCTTTGAGGTAACATTTTGAGATCTTCAAAGAGCACAGCTTCATCACCAGTGAAGCAGGCAGGAGAAGAACGGAAAAAAGGTAAACAGTCTCTCGTTCCAGAAAATGAGTCATTCGGTGGAATCTGTGTGTAAGAGAGAAAATCATTGATTTTGAAATATTATTTCTGCATTATTTACATTTCTGGAAGTTATGTAGAGATACAAAGTATTTTTTAAGTAAAATGTTTACTGCCATTGTATTTACACTACGATATTCCTTTAATAACAGCCTTCTTTCATCCTCTGCTCTCAGTAAATGTATTGAACATCTCCAAATGTCAATGACAGTTACTCATTAGATTACTTGCTGATTATGTTTTGTGTTTTGGAATGAAAGGCTTATTGTTATATGATCTGCAAAAGGATGTGTTTCTAAAAGAGACATTCAATTAAATATTTATTTTGACCACTATGAAGTAATGTATTCTCCTTCAGTTTAGCAGGGAATGTTTTAATAGGACAAAGTGTCAGACTGGAAAGGATGTAATGACAAGACGATAGCCACTAGAGGTTGCTGTACAGAAGCAAAAATAGACATTTTCTACACAATTACAGTACATGTGTAATTGGTATAAAAGTATAAACAAGGGAGATTACAGCTGCAGGTTATTCAGCTCAGCCTGGCAAATGACAAGCAACTCAAGTGAGTACAATAATGTATTTAAAAAAGATTTGGGTTTAAAGGGTCAACAGACTGTCCTATGCTTACTGTATGAGTTAAAATTAAAAGACATCAAGCGCAAATCACTGTAAATAATCTATTCTGGGGTGTAAGACATGTTAGAGGAATAGTGGGACATGTCCTAACTAAAGGGCTCAGATATTCCCAGATTCACGGAGTAGAAATGCCTGTTATAAGAGAGGGAAGAGAAACAGATTGTCTTTAGCTAACCCTGTGGAGTAGACTGCAGCACCTGAATTAGATAATCACTCTGTAATAATATTATCTCTAAGGAAGAGGTCCTACACTGGCTGGCTTGAAAAGAGCAATGATACAATATGAAGGTCCTTAAAGTCTTTACCAGAAGGCAAGATCTTTCACACCTGGTATGCATTACTGAATGAAAAGCCCGAATGCGTAACTTGAATGACATACTGTAAAATCATCAGGAACAAAAGCTCCTAATGTAGAATTATCAGATTCTAGCTTTCCCTTGGTCTTGTTAATTGAGATAAGACTAAATTTATCATTGCATGGTTGAAAATGTTTCTATGCATACATTAGAAACATTCACTTAAAATCCAGCGTCATAGCCTTTTAGAAATCTCATAATTTAATTCAAATATCACAGAAAAAAAGGCTTGGTTGCTGCCTGTAATACAATATAATAGTAAATGTTTTATACAGTAGTTTTTTTTTAATTGTGAGCCTCTTAATATACGGTAATATCACAAACTTATTTAAGACCTTTGAGTATCTACTGTTATATTATGAAATGGAGATGGCGTTTAAGCCAAAAATAAATAAATGAAGATTCTCTGAGTAATAATTTGGACAAAATGAGTGGAAATAAAATAATAATTTGGCCTGAATGTTAAAAAAAAATTAGTATTGTACTTTTGTAGGATTTTCATTTATTTGAATTACACCCAAGACTGTTTGCTTTTTCTGTCTTTAAAGAGTACCTATGCTTTTGAATACTTTAAAATCAATTAATTATATAGATCATCTTTATGTCAGGAAACTATGTCATGTCTTCAACAATTTACTTGGGAAAGCCCTGGGACAACAGCGTCTGTCTGCATTTTCCCTTTGTTCAGCGAATTATATTCTCCTATTTTCAAACTGATGAGTAATATACCTTTGTTGAACATATAAAATTTGAAGTATTATTCATTATTCTTGTCCTGAGAAATGAGAATTATGATGAAAAATATCCTTTAAATTATTTTAGACTATTCAGAACAACGAGCAATATGATTTATATTTCAATAATTTAGCTGTATTGAATATTAATGTTCTCTAAATGTAAATATATAAAACAAAAACTATTTTAAAAGGCTTACAAGTTATTGTGTTATTGTGGTGCCTTTTATTTTTAATGGAAGACCTACCTTAATAGGAAAACAAGGATTTAAGTTTTCACATGTATTTTGACAATCCACTCCTTCCACAAAACTGGCTTTGCTTGTGGTCTGAGGGGTGAATGAAATATCATGGTCTATGTATTGGCCCCAGTCAACAATCATTTGGGAATAGGAGTCATCTTCCACAATCTGGTCATTTGAAGTTTGCATTATATTGTTGCTTACATCCCGGACCTGTTTATATATATTCAAGAAATATAATTAAATAACATATACTGTATATGTATATATTTACATATAATAGCCTTCTCTTTTTTCAATAATTGTGATTGGTGTTAGAATCCTGAAGTCTTAGGATTCTAACATTATTTTTTATTATATTAGTTCAAAGGTTTTGTCATTATAGATTATAGAAATAATAAAGCATTATACAACATCAGAATAATATTATTATTAATAAATTACATGGGAATCAATTAACAAGCAAATTATAATTCAAGATAATTGAAACCCCATAAAACAGATAATTAACAAAGACATTCTGTGAAGGAAAAGGAGAATAGTTAAGCTAGGAATGTCATTTTATTTTAAGCTACAGTATGTAACTCCTTATAACAGAGCACAGTTTTACAGTTATTCTTTCCTCAAAACAATGCATATTGTATGTGGTTTGGAACTTATAACAGAAAATGTATGCTGAAGGGACGATTTGTGCTCTCATTTCGTTCCCCAGAAATGTGCCTCTCTTCCACTGACAGACAGATAAATGGAGATCAGACTGTTTTTAAACTAAGAGCTGTTAAATTCAGCTCCAGTTAATCCATTTGATAACTGATGAGGGAAAAGCAACCCATGAGAAAAACAACTGCATTAGTAATCAACACACATACAGCAATACATGAATAAACCAAAATGCGCTTCAGTTATTTTTTTCAAATATCAAACAGAAACTATTAATTAAAATAATATCACTTTGAGCTCTACTGACAGTAGGATTTTCTTGTAATGATGTCCACACTATTTTCCAAAGGTTTTATTTTTGTTAGAAATCAAATATTTTCTCATTTGAAGTTATCCATTATGAGATTTCTGTCAGAATGAAATGTCTTTCAAATGTTAACAAAGTGCAGGTTTTTAACCAAATAATACTTAAAATCGTTTTCTAGAATATTAAACCTGCTGCCCTTCTTTGTTGCTTCACTAGTACTTTATCTGCTGATTTGTAGTCATTTCCTAACAGTTGACAGGGCAGGTAAAATAATCAGATGTGAGGTACTGTATACTTACAGCGATGGCTTTTATAAAACAAACCTTAGATCCTACTAAAGAATGGCTTTCATCTATGTTATTCTGCATTTACCTTTTGTGTGAAATTGATTTACTGTATGATGACAATCGGAGAGCTGTATTGTTTTATCTGAGCACCATTAGGAGTGCTTAAAGAAACATACAGCATACAGTCTTTTTATTATTATTATTTGAAAGTTAGCTACTGTAAGTACTGTGTGAGAGTTGCATATCATATGCTACTTTACTTATTTTTCTTCTTGATTGTGAACTAAACCAATGTCTTATCTTTCATGACACAATGCTTTTTTACAGAAAAATGTTTCAGATTTACTGTATTTTTCTACCTGTGTTTTTTTTGGAATAAATATGACAGTATTATTGTTCTCTGTATACATATATATGCAGATATTAATTGTTTTATACTGTACTTACTGGAGGAAGTGGAAAGCCATTGTATAACAATCCAGCATTCCAGCCCTTAGGTTGGTTACGCCCATCTTCGTATTCCGCAGGAAGCCATCGGGCCAGAGCAGTGCTGGCTGCCCCCCACTGGGAGTGGTTTCTGGAGGAGGACATACCTGAGATTAGCACCAGTCATTGGCAGTTTGGTTTTAGGAATTCATCACATTGAAAAATCATAACCTTGTGCTACATTCTAAGTATTGCGGTACATTAGATTAATTCTCAACTAATGAATTTCTGAATTTAACTCAAGTTATTTAAACTTCGAACATGAAAAAAATATATCTTTCATCAAAAATAAAGCGGATAAAGCTGTGAATTAAAAAAATGTGTAAAAAAATGTGCAAATAAAAAAGTAGGATGAGGAGCATACTACCATGAAAATGATATCTAAATTATATTAAGGACGTATATAACAAAATTAGGAAGATATGTTTTAAGGAAGAAGTGGTTATCATAGGATTAATAAAAACATAAGCGCAGCAGGGGGAACAGAAATAGTAGATACAGGTGTGGCCAACAACTGGTTTCTAACTAATTTGTAAGAAAGACTATTTGATGTACTGTAGGCTTTTCAAACAATAATGATGCTGTAGACTAAGCAACGTTTGTTTTTACATATTTACTGAAACTATACAATAAAGTCAAGAAAAATATTTAAATTTTCTGAAAAAATATATTGACTAATATACCACTAATGATTGAGAGTGGTTACAAGAAGTGGAATGTAATAGCATGAATATGGAATAAGAGAATTGGATGGTGGCAGTTTAAAGATATTCTGTTAGAAGCGCAGAACAGAATCATTACAAGGCACGTGTATAACAGGGGAATTAGAAAGCCCAGAGAGAGATATATATTAAAATTTCAAAGGAGGTAAAAATAAATGTAAATAGTAAATAGTTTATCTGTTAAAAAAGGTAAAAAGTAAAAAAAAGTAAAAAGTAAAGCAAGACCATGGGTTCAAGGAAAGCATATTCAGTTATATGGGTTTTAGATTTTCAAAAGTATTATGACTTTAATAAAAAATAAAAAAAGAGATTAATTTTAAAACGGGAGGTAGTATTACATGTACATCTCATTGTATTAAGAACTGTTAAATGAATATACAACAGGCTATAGATCTGTGGTTACACAAGAATCTCTACTAGACTTGCACTTTCTAATTTGTACTGATAATCTATATTACGGCCTAGTATAGTAAACTGAAATTTTGCAAATCATACAAAAATAAAATAATTAGGAAGTACTATAGGAGCAATACATTATATTTAAAAAGACATAGGTTAAGTCTGAACAAATAGCTGACACAAGACAGTGAATGTAGACATACAGAAAGTTGTGTGCAGGTACTGTAGCAAAAACGTACAGTACACTGTAAATACAGTATAAGATACCTCTAAATGAGATAAATTATTTTTTAAAAAGGCTTAGGTGGTGTGTTAGATGGCTGTTGATGTACTGTATCATTTACAAGTTCTAGGCAATCCAGCATTAAAAAAGACAATCAGAATGTTATAAATAGTTCAAAATTTAAAACTTACATCAAGGCATCCATCCCTTTTCTACGCTCTTTAGCCAATACAAAAGAAGAGGGGAAGTCAAGGGGGAGCAGATGACCTTTCCAGAAACCAGGGGTGCAAGGGAGGATATACCCCAATCAGGACAAGAGACCATCACAATCATTGTGATGATTGTGGCACACACACAAGGCACACACACTCACTCACACATGTGGATTCAATTCTTGAGGTGCTATCTGCATGGAGTTTTATGTTCTTCCCAAATTATTGTGGGTTACTTGGTGCTCCGGATTCCTTGCACTGCCCCATAACATATTACTTAAATTGGCTTCTGGGAAAATTAGCCCTGGTGTGAGGGTGTGTGTCTGTGTCTGGGCCTGTGTGTGTCTTGTGATGGCCTGGCTCCCCACCCTGGGTGTGTCCTGCCTTGCATCTCTTGCTTTGCTGGATAAGGCCCCATCTGCTCTGCAGCCCTGTGTTGGATATAGTGGTTAGAAACTGGATGGACTAATGGATGCTGTCAGAATCGTCAGAATCATTGCAATTAAAAACCTGTTGTTGCAGGCTCCACTGATAGTTCTGTATTTTCTAGCCAGACATCCATTTGGGCAGATAGGAGGCTGCATATAAGGAAGACATCCAGACAGGTTTGCAATCAGCTTCAAGTCCTTCATGGAAAGATGATCTTTCAAAAAAAAAAATTCCATGGCAAAATTTAAACGCAAGAGTACAATGGATTCATTATCTGGCATTTAATGTAGTACTAATCAACTAAGCGTATAACTTACTTCCATGTCTCTTCATCTTCTCCTATCTGCCTTAATGTTTGGCTTGATAAATTAGTTCATGAAGAAGCAATTTTATTGCATGATGACCTTTTGCCAATTCTTAGTTTAGTAGATGGTTACAGATTCTTACTGTATATAGTTAAAATGTGTAAATTGAAAGTTATTTGGAAAAATCAGCACACAACAAAATGGTGGAATGCGGCTTTTTCTAGAATAAGCAGCTGGTATTTAATATGATCATAAGGGGGAAAAGTTGTCTCTTGTCTCAATGTAATACTGGGAATTAATTTGTTTTATCATGACACCCTTGTTGTATCAAAACTAGTGCTTTCTAAAACCAACAACAGTTCAATGTTTTCAATGTTTTTTTTAGATGCAGCGGTAAATGAAGTGGAAAAAAGAATAATTAAGAATCAACGTATGTGAAATAATAAGCAAATCCCTAGTTTGCTTATAACAATTAAGGGGTTAATTAGAAACAAGTGTTTAAATTCATAACAAGCAAATAACAACTCAGTTTGGGCAGCCCCTATCCTGTATAATTGTGAGAATCTTTGAGAGTTTGCTCTTCACCTGTGGAAGCACATCATGTCACAATCAAATTTCATCACCTGGACAGGGTTACACAACCATTTCTAAACTTTTGGTAATCCATCCTTACAAATTCAATGTACTGTATAGTCTACAAATGAAAAATATTATTCAAGGTACTGTAACCCTATTCAGGACTGCCAAGTTGTCCTGGCAAGATCTTCCAAAGACTAACCTGGAAAATCATCCATAATGTAACAAAGAATCCCTGAATAATAACAAGAACCACTCTCTCTGAAGCTAATATCAGTGTTCATACCTCAATAATCATGAAAATACTAAATTAGAATGTTTTTCATGGGAAGATATTAAGGGAGAAACCGTTTTCTCTAAAAGGAACATTGCTGCTTGACTCAGAAATGGCAAGGAGCACTTGGACTATTTACATAGCTACTGAAAGAACGTTCTCGAGATAGTCCAAAGTTTTGGAGCACAATAAGAAACATTTTGTATGATGAAAACCAAATACTGCCTTCAAAGAAAAGTACCCAATCCCTGCTCTTAAGGATGGTATCATGGTTTGCCTGCCTCAGGACCTGGACTGCTTGTGATCATTGACAGGATGGCATTGTACCAGGAAAATCCAGAGCAGAATGTCATGTCTTCCATTTGTCAGCTAAACCAAAAGAGTGTCATGTAGCAAGTCAATGATCCTAAACATATAAACAGATCTTTTAACAAAACAACTGAATAAGAAGGAATTTGTGTGTTTGGTATGCCCAGTTCAATGTCTGCACCTAAACCCCCATTGAAACCTTATGGATACATCTAAAAGGAAATGTTCATGCAAGAAAAGCCTCAAATGTCACAGACCTTTGTACTGTTACTTGTATTGTACTTTGTTCCATTTATGTTACCAAACATCTTGACAAGCTCCACAGCATAAAATAACATTGCTATATATCATAGTAGGGATGATATTGACTGAGTGATGCACTGCATTAGATGTGAGATAGATAAAATTACTTATTGCATTTAGTCCAAAAAGTTCCAAAAAATTAATAATAGTGGTTTGGATTAATTAAGAATACTTAAACCTACTGTATCTCTATAAGGTCCATCATTTCAGAAGTGAATTTCATGAAGCAAAGATCCAATCATGAAGACCAAGAAGGATTCAAACCAACTAAAGTTGCTTAAAGCCTCAAATCAGGAGAATTGGATAGAAACATTTCAAAGACCCTTAATATCTCTATGAGCATGATGAGATCAATCAAAAAGTGCAAAGCACCCTGACAGCCTATACCATGCTTCCTCTCCAAACGTGGCACTTGTGTAAGAGGAAAGTAGTTAGGAATGATACTGTGTGGCCAATAACAACTATGTAAGAGATACAGAGTTAAGTGGTTGAGGTGTGAAAAAAGTCTGTCTCAACTATTGTACTGTATATCCCTCTCATTCCACAAAAGGGGCTCATATAAAAATGAGAAAGATATCATCATTACATTATTTAATATTAACAACATAAATCATACAAATATGCAGAATGTTTATGCAATACATGGTTTCTATAATTTTTAAGTTTATATTATATTAGAAGTATTAGAAGCCACTCTGCAATTTATGTGAAGGACTGTTCCCTGTTTTCATACTTTTAAAAATGTTACACAATTACAAAAACATAGTAAATAAAAATCTTGGAGTTATGTTATAGACCACTTTCCCAAATAGAAATCTTAGCTATGTGTTTTCTGCACAACAACATACAGATAAGTGTGTCTTGAAATGATCAGGGCTGGGTTTGTATTGTGTAAATTGTAGAAAGGAATACAGTATGAACAGACTTTCTCAATGCAACTACTTTGAAGGAGCACTTCAGGTTACACAACTTACACTTTCAGAATTGTACTGGCACAAAGAAAATAGATATCATTGATGTTTAATTCTCTTATCATAATAATAATTAACTAACAATTGACTTAACTGTAAGAAATAATTAGATATAGCTGTACTCACCTTTTATCATAATGGTTCTTTTATTTCTCTTAGGTGTTCTGCTCTTTAAAATGTGTAAAGTTGTTTCTAAAAGTTCTGCAGCTCTTGATATCTCTTGAGTCTCTGGTTCAGCTTGTTTGAAAAATGATAAAATCTGCACTGGGGATTGGACTGTGCCTTGGTTATGATTCCTGAATGTCAAATATAAAGGCAAAATCAATTCCTTGCAAAGATGATAAAATTACAGACAGCACAGCGGCACAGTGGTTAGCATTTCTGCCTTCAGCGCTAGGGACCTGGGCACAATTCCAGACCTGAGTATTATCTGCATGGACTTGATATGGTCCTCCCTCTGTTTGTGTGGGTGTCCACCAGGTGTTCCAGTTTTTTCTACAGTTTAAAAACCTACAGTTTAGGTTAATTTGTTTCTGGAAAACTTGGCCCTTGGTTGAGAATACTTCTACAGTATGTGTGCCTTTCTGCCTTGCAATAGACTGACATCCTTTCCAGAGCATTCCCTGCCTTGCTCTTTTTACTTGCCGGGTTAGACTCTGGCTTCCATGCAAAGTAGTGGTTAAAAAATTGATGGATGGATGACAACATGATCTGCTGACCAGATAGAATTTAAATGCTTATTTTACATTAAAAATACTATGAACAAGTAGGGGAATTTACACAAGCAATGATTGTCAAAATTAAGCTAGCAGCTTCTAGATTCAACTATTTAATGTATTGCAGCCTGGAAGTGAAAAATGTCATACCCTTTCATAGTGTTGAATATAGCTCTGTCTACCATGTGAAGACTTTCTTGGAAAGCGGAGGAGATAATGGAATCCCCAATCTTTTTCAAGTTGCCTTGAAAACACAAGAGGAACACAGGAAAAAAATGGTGCATAAGTCTTGACCAATTCAAAGTTTTTTTAGAGAATTCAGTCTATTATCAGTGTACTTTCAGTCTATTAAAGTACAGTATGTCTCAGTTTGTATTTCCAGGCTTTAAATGTATTTTATTTTGACTTAAAGTAGATCATTTTGTTAGTTACTTTGTTTTATAACTGTATTTTTATGTATGTCCTGTACATCATTATTTCAGAAACCGTGACTGTAATAGAGTGTGTAATCTACATACTCTATACACTTAACAGTCAAAACCAAATAAGATAAAACTGTGTACCATGCAACGTCCTGACTATGGCTAAATTATTTCAAAAGCAGAATGTAATTGTCATGTCCTAACTCTTTGGTTCAGGCTTCACAAAATATATTGTTTATTTAAGTTTAGTTACTTATTTGAGAAAACAGGTGTTTGTTTTAAGGGTGTCCCTTTAAATTGTAAAAAATAAATATTTTAAAATTGTGCATTTGACATGCAGGTCAATTACACTGCTTCAGTTTAATTTGCATTATACTTGCAGTTTTTCACATAGTGTAATTTAGCAAAAAGATTACTTCATCGTAAAAAACAATATTAACTTACTTTGTCCTTCTTCTTCTGCCTCATTACTGAAGAAGAATATGAGCACCATGCAGGACAGTAATGTAGCTATGGCAACACCTGAATAAATCCTCATGGTTTTGAAATGTGATAGATGAGCTATGAAACAAATGTATAAAAAATATAAATGCATATCGTTTACCAGAAAATATCATCCCGATCTTATCATTACCAACGCTAACCACGTGTTAACAGAATATTATTACAGAAAAGCAACACTGTTTAGTTGACAACACTAGTAATAGTGTAATAACCACAAAAATTAAACATACATTTTTTTCAATACCATACAATTCCAACACAATATCACAGAAATAAAGTATGAATTTGTTATATCCTCTGAATTCTGATGGAATTCATTGTGATTTTGTGGTGTTTTTTAGAGAATGTTACCAATTCACCATACTGTATAGTAGACATTGTTTTCTATCTGTTGTACATGTTATTATTTTCATTTTAATTTTCTGTCTGTTTTAGGATTGTGACTTCATATCACAAAAGAAATAAAACATGAATACCTTATGGAATTCAAAATTAATTACCATTTTTAAAAAGTGTTACCAATTCAGGGCAGCACGGTGGCACACTGGTTGCCATTTCTGCCTTGCAGCACTAGGGCTCTGGATTATATTTTAGGCCTCGGGTGCTATCTGTGTGGAGTTTTCCCCATGTTCTCATGGGTTTCCTCCCACAGTCCAAAAACATACTGGTAGGTTAATTTAATTCTGGGAAAACTGACCCTAGGTGTAGTTTTGTGTCTGTATGTCTGTCCTGTGATGAACTGATGTCCCTTCCAGGTTTTGCCCTGCCTTGCGCCCTTTGCGTGCCAGGATAGGTTCCGGCTCCCTCTGTGACCCTGAATTGGAAAAAAGTGGTCAGAAAATTGCTAATGTTACCAATTCAGAATTTACAAAACAACTTCAAGATATTGTCTATGTACTGTATTGTTCCATGACACCACAGAAAAGGTTATGCTTAAAAATCTTAAATTCAAATAATAAAGCTTAATTGTTAGGTAATTAGGAACAAAACATTAATATGTGTGTATTATTTTGGTGATAGCCTATAAGAATTCATCAGAGTGACTGAAATGTCTAATAATCTCATATACTGTACGTTTCATTTCACAATTGAAATTTTCTGAATCACTATGCATTAGTTCTAAAAACACATGAAAATTCTAAGAGGTATCCAAACAGCACGCCTTTTATCCTTCCCAACAAGTATTGTGGTTCAGTGGTAATTCTTAACCTACTATTGGTTCTGAGGAATATAAAAAGGACTATTTTTAACATTTGTGGTTTCATGTCCTTGGGGCATGACTCACAGGTATCCTTTTTTCAACAGTATATTCTATTTTTCTCAGACAGTTTTTTTTTAATAACCATTTTTTAATAATGGTTTGGATGATGTTTCACTTTCAATTCATTAGGTCTTTTACATTCAAACAACCACACTTATACAATGATAAAATGTTAAAATGTCATAATATGTTTTGTTGTCTCTTTGAACTCTAATACCCAAAAAATCTTCTTTGCAATAAAAACAAAGTATTAAGCCATTAAACTGCAAACATTTTTATTTCTCCGTAATAGAAAACAATAGAAAATAGCATTTCTAAAACATAACATGATGACAATAAACTGTCTTTTCTAGACACTGTCGTCTGTTTATAGATTAAAATGTGAATGCTACTGCTTAGTTTAGAATTTTGGGATTATCTGTGCACATATTTCAAAGAACATTTTACAGGCTAGTACACACACACTTTTAGTGTTCAGTACTCCAAAAACATATTATTAACAGACTATGTATTTACATCGTATTTGTAATGATGTACCTTTATCTAAGTTCATACAAAATGTGCAATATATAAATTATTTTTTTATATATGAATAACATTCTATGTCAACAGTACAACAGTATCATCAAGATGTAACATATACAATATATATTAATAAATATTGGTCCAAATGTACATATGATGACAAAAACAATATTTACCTTTTTATGAAATGCTGCACCCAGAGTAGGGTGAGAGAAGAGAGGGTTGCACCCAGTCTTTTCATGGGCTCATTTGTCAATGAGTATGAGCCAAAGTACTTTTACTTTAGTGGCCTACATTTAATCTATGCTCCACCCCTCTTTGGTTCGAGTGCCCTTCAGCGTTTTTCACTGGAAGTACCTAAAGTACTTTAATTGAGCTTAAGTGAGGAAAAGAAAACTGTTGCAAAATACAAAATAACACAGGGAGAACAACATACTGTACTTACATGTGCTGCAAACTAAAACAGTTCTTTATACTCATCCATCCCTCCCTTTTCTAACCACTCTATCCAATTCACAGTAGCAGGGGCGCCGGAGCCTATCCCTGCAAGCAACAGGTACAGGGCAGAATATACTTTAAATGTAAAGTGTTTTGAAAATATGACTTTGTATTTTTAAAGCTTATAGCAAACATTATATAACAACTTATTTTAATGAATTCCATGTTATTTCTTTATTTGGCTTTTCTGACCACTTCAAAACACTTCCCTTACATCTTGGTTCTTACAAGGGTATAGCGGACAAGTGTCATCTTATAGCCCAGGTGGTAGGTACAGAAAACATCAATTTATACACACTTTGGTGTATATTACTGACAGAAATTGCGATCCATACTTTTCTTTTTGTGAATCAACATGTAGTGATATCTAAAATTTCCCATATAAAACAAACAATGTTACACTCACCAGATTTATTTAAAAACAACCCAAAATTAGGCCATCCAACTATGACAGACATGCCATGCAATAGGGATTTCACTCCAAGTCTCCACTCACCCCTCCTACAATCCTGGATATGAACAGTAGAGAGGTGACACAAATAATATGTAATATAGGGGCAATTCATCCCAGGAGAGGGAATGTGGGTTGTCAATATCCTTTTAGGTGTGATAAGATCAGTCAAATAGACCTGCTGCTGCTGATACGGAGCAAAACCAGGGCTATCATTTTGTAAGATTACTTACAAAATGATATATGATAAAGCAAGGAAAAATACTGAATAATAGTGGACAACTATTCTAGAACACATCTGGACACTCCAACTCCATTGGAAACACATTCATGAAGGACTAAAGATAAGTATATACAGTATGTGTCCAGTACACTCTGTGTCAAAAAGTAAATCATTAAACCACTGGGAATATTTGTAAAATAAATATGATCCCAGATATCAAGGAATTTCTGCATCTGTAGCTTTCAAATAGCAACATCTCTAAATGTTTCTTTAAAGCATCTTAAATATAATCATAGTTAAATATATAAATTTAAAATGTAAAATATAAATATAATATATACTAAAAGGGAATACATTAATCAGAAATGTATAAATATAAAAAGTCAATACCTTTTTGTTTCTGAAATCCAGCAGATTATGCATGGTCTACATCACCCCCCAGGAGAAATCATAGGCAAAAAAATTGAAGAACAAAGATGTAGGTAAAAAATAAAGTTCAGATAGAATGTTACATATTTTTTTTTATTTTCTACAGAGTAAAAAAGAGAAAGGAGAATTACCAGTAAGGAATTTATAATTCAGATGTTTTGGGGGGTTTTGTAAATCAAACAAAAAGTGCAATTAAATGCAAATTATAAGCCAAACAGATCTACAATGTTAATGGGACGCTGGAATGATGTAATATGATAACACAAGCATATACCTGTATGCAGACACTAGATCTTAAAGGCACATCAAGTTACATGAGAGTCAGAATTAAACCAAAGTAATAACTAATAATATTTCATGGTTGTAGGTTGTTGTAGGGAAAAAAAAGTAACTTCACTATTCCATGCAGTGGAGGAATCAATCTATTTATCTATGCTCAGAGAGCATGAATCAGTATACTGTACATACATACAGTGTATTTAGACTATTTATTTAAAAAAACCTTGTCTACCAATTTTTAAATTAACCTTAAAGCATTATAGCCAACTTCAAAGTATTAAAGCCTCTTAAAATTTAAGAGAGGGGGATGTTTTTTTTTCTCGAGGGTAGAGGTAGTCTGCAGATATGTCCAAATAAACAGTAAATACGACAAGTACAAGGATTAGTGTAATGAAAGTGTTCTTTCCGGACCCTATGCAGATTACATGATCCGGGGATGAGTGAGGAAAAGACAAGGAAAAAGGCATGCTGGAGTTGGGAATGAAAACGGGGGGCGTGTCCATGGTGCGCAGGTATTCTGGGGGGTGAGTCCGGAGCAAACAATCCAAAACAATGGGATCTCCAAGATGAGGCAAAAGTCCAAAGCCAGCAGTCCATCCGAGATGAAGACAAACAGGATTAAAAACCGGAGCGGGATCCAGTGGAGGGTCAGGGGGGGTGGAACGGGACCAGATGCTCCAGATGCATTGCAATGCAGAGCCCGAAATAAAGTGAGCATCTGGCATCCAGCCCACCTTAAAAGCATCTGGCTTTTAAGGTGGGCTGGATAGGAGGCAGGTGCACAAATTCAAGTCAGAAGTGAAAAGAGCTGGAGCGCCCTTAAGGGGGAGGGACTACAATCGTGACAATTAGAAGGTGTGGTTGCATTGTGTTAGAATCATTTTACACGTGCTCAGGGCTTTGTTGACATGGCTATATGGAAGGTTCGAATACTGACCAGTTTATCAAGCACTTATGGCTGATAAGCATGGTGCGCCCGGCATTTTTGTGGGAATGTTATTATCGGCTTACTCATCCTGTTAAATATTTCCATCCAATGTCGTTATTTGAATTATTTTAATTCTTCACTTGTAAGAAGGATAAAAGAGACAATGCAGATGCCCTGGGTCAAGGGGAGGGAAAGTAGGGATTTTTTTTAACTAAAGGGTTAAAAGATCAAATTATTTGCACCATACTTTTCCCTTTTAGTTGAGTGTACTGCTCTAAAGTTTTTTTTATGAAAAATAACTGTGAATGAGCAATGCATTTTCCAATTGCGTGATTAATTAATCAATTACTGTCTGATCTATTCCATTATCTTGTGCTTAATAAATTACTTCTGCCTTTCAGTT